AATTTTGGTTTTATATTCTTTACTTTCTTCGTATCACTTTAAGTGATGTATTAAGAATTTTTTTTGTTTCATTTCAAATAATGTTTTAAAAAATTTATAGAAAAATTTAATATATTCAATATTTCAATACTGTTTGATTAATTATATTTTATATTATGTTCTTTTTATAGAATTAGTTGTAGTTATGTTTTATGTAAAATAGATCAATAAACTAAATAAGATTTTCGTGATTTCTTAATCTGTGTTAAAAAACTATTATGGGCTCATGCCTTTTTGGCCAGCACTTTATTACCAACACTTTTTCATTTTTGAAGTTAAGCAAATGAGGACTAATCGATTATTCATTTCAAATAGATATGCGTCACTGTCAACCTTCCACTGCGATGGAGAACATATCACATTTAATAACTAATGTCACACATGGAACATATCTTCACAGATCAAAACTATTTCTATAATGAAAATAAATAAATCAAAGATCAAATCTTTGTCCCACTGTTGTCCTCGTGTCCCACAGGTGTAATCTTTCGTCCTGATCTATCTAACCAAAGCCGCAGGCAGGATCACAGTGATTCGTATCTGATCTCTTATATTGTCGTAATATGATCATTAACATATATATTCACGTGAGTTTCACATGAAAAACTGTATAACCATACATGTCTCCTATGATAACAATGGTGACAGCAAGATAATAGTGTAAAACAAACAAGTCATCCGGAATAAACTAGATTAATATGGCTAGTGTAGAACAGCTGAAATGAACAAAACAAACAATAGAAAACAAACGAAATAAAAACTAACGTGGGATTATTAGAGTAGTAGTTGAATCCATGTAAGCAAAAAATATATTGTACTATATATGTATTTAGGAAAACACGAGTTTTAATTTTCGAAAGGAGAAAGAATTTATTAAATGATGATCCCAATTATTGGATCATCATTCGGAATACAAGTTTTTTTTTTATTTATGTGCCGCATTCGGTATTAACCAAAAAAATTCATTTGTTCTCTGTTTTTTCATATGTTTATCATACTTTATTTTGATTTTCCTGAATAGAAAACATAAAGGCGATCATTAATATTAATCATTTAATCTAAAACCATGTCGTACCCGAAACATATTCAACGCTTTAGTTGATTTCGATAGTATTAATTAGAATAATCAAATGAGGATCTGTATAATCTTTATATTTTTATAAACGTATGATTACGACATTCCGATCGTCCCGTGAATAAAAATTGTTCATAATCACATAAAGTGAGACATTCCAATATATTAGGGAAGGGATACAATATATTACTATTAGAATACGAGGGATATATTAACAGTCGCTAGTAAAAGCATGTGGGTATGGACTTGAATCCAAACATCTATATATACATTTTTGCAGACATTTTTGAAATAAATCTTGGAGTTTCAACTTATTTACGATCAAATGCCATTAACATTAATTTATTTATTTTTTAACGTCGTTCATTGAATATCAAAATAAAAGCAGAGTTTGATGACAGAGTAAAACAAGCACAAAAAACAGAACAATGCTAGAAGTAAAAACAGAGCAAGACATTAGCCTGAGTAAAAACTCGACTAAGATACCGTCGGTGCAAGAGAGGCGAAGGATTGAAGCTCCGTGAAATGGCTACGTGCAGCGTCTCCGTTCCTCCTCAATTCTGTTATGAAGCCAAGCTGGTCCTCCTATCGCCATGTAAGAGTTGAATCGTCCTTCTCGTGTGACACTACATGCAATATTCCTAGCCAAAGAATTGGCTTTCGGTGAAGAGATGTGAAAAGAAACATCCCGCATCACCTGTACTACCTGAGTAATTTTGCGGAGAATAGATCGATATTTTGGCCAGTCTTCTGGTGTAGGCGTGTAGCTAACGCCCGTATCGCTGCTATGCAATCTGACCAAATTTCACAAGATTCCACATGGACTTGATGTAAACTTTGTAAACACCATAAGATGCAATGTAACTCTGCAGCCACCCTGTTAAACATGGGAAGAAAAGCATCTCTAGCGTGTAAGACCGCATTACCATTATGATTACGTAATAACCATGCTCCTCCGCAATGAAAAATATCTTTTATCTAGGAGGCATGCACGTTACACTTTAGCTTTCCACTCGCCGGTCTACTCCATCTTGTTGCGACCCGTGTGTGTCTATACTGAAAGTTTGCATTTTCTGAAGCAATGATAGAATTCTGCAGCAACCATTCCTCTGCATCTTCCAAAGCCTTAGCAATTAGGATATTATGATCAATATTTTTGGCATCGTATAATTGGGAATTTCTTGCTTTCCATACTTCCCATAGTATCCAGGGTAACATTAATTATTTAGATTTACAAAATTAAATCAAAGATATTAATATAAAAAATTATTTCTAAAAATCTTAACCTAGTATATTAACCATAACTATTTCTTGCCACAATTAAATCCATATTCAATTCGATTTCCTTAAAAGATCTCAACAATCCCTACATTTAATAGTGACCATTCAAATTTTAATCCGGTTTTTAATCTTCAATCTTGACTGTCAGTCATACGTAATTAATTCGAAAATCGTTATAGAATTAATTATTATTAACTAAAATTTCTTTTTAATATATATATATATATATATATATATAATCAAACTTTTAAATTGACTCAAATTATATGTCTATTAAATAAAATATTATTTAAAAAGTAACAAAATGATGTTTAATTTCACGGGACGGGGTTATATGGTGGGATGGGTTTTGATCGATATTAATACGGGACGGATGAAATCCTAAAATTAACAATCAAAATACAATTATAGAATCTTAAACATTTAACAAAATAAACAATATTAAAAAGAAACAACTTAAAATTTAATATTTTAGTTAAAATAATCGACCGCGGTACACCGCGGGGTAAAATCTAGTGTCTACTGATTTTTCAAAAAAAAAGTTTTGAACATATCTATGGCTAGTAGAAGAAAAGAGAGAATGAATACAAGCATCTTTTGTGTGTGTGTGTTGGCCGTTTATATAGATCTTATTTTATATGCAGAAACTAAAACTTCTGGTTTATACATCTTTTTTACATAACCTTAACTATTTATAGCAAATCAAAAGAAAAAATCGGCTATTATGAATATTTTGGGACAAAAGTATCCAATTAAATTATTTTCAAATATATCTTCTTTTTAAAATTGTGATCCGGAAATTTATTTATAAATCTATGTCAGGCTCAGCCTGATTTAAATTGTCCGTGAGATGGTTCTTTTTTTGTGTTTATTATAAAAACCTTTGTTTCTCTATGTACACGATACACCATACGGTATTGATCAATAAGGATATACTCTAATTAATACATGTATCTTTTGTTTTGGCTTAAATTGTCTATACACGTATCTACAATTTGTGTATGTAATAATGTAAAGAAACGTCCCCTACGTTTTATTGGCCCTTCGCATAAACCAAGAGCCAACGAAGCAAGCATCTTCCAAAGAAAAAAAAAACCTTGCTAATAATTGCTTGCAAGTTTCAAGCCACGTAGTATTTTGATCGGTCCACTCAAATAAAATAATAATATGGATATTTGCATATATATAAGTCTGGTTTTTGCATGTAAAGACTTCACAACGACGAGCAAGATATCTGGATACGCGGAAAATAGATAGAAGAAATCAAAAAGCATATTTTTATTTTTTTTCGAAAAGAAGATTATTGTTCTTAGTCTACAATGGTGACTCTAAAAATGGAGATTTGCATCGAGTTGGTGAAATTGACCGTAGATTTCGTCGCCGCCGTTGCAGAATCAATCGAAGTAGCTTTCCGTCATCGTCCTCCACCGGTGATTCAATATTCTCCGGTGATGTATGGTCGCCGGAGTAATTACACCGCCGTTCCCATTCCTCTCGTGGGGTTTCTGTAATTAATATATTCTTCTTCTCTTATGGTTCTTTTGTTTTTTTGTTCATTCTTGTTCTATTATAATTACCTTATGGCCTCGGACAAAAGGTATGATTCGTATGGAAGATCATCAAGATGTGGTTTGTGTATAAACCAAAAAGATCATGAAGAGTTTACGTAACCCGTGAATATATAAAAGTTTAGACGTTCCCGATCTTGTATATATTTTGTTCAATGTATATAATATGTTTACTCATAAGATAAGATCTATAAAGAAAAATTGCTGTTAAATTTTACGTGGGAATCTTCCTATGATATCAATGTGTTCACACTTTCAAGGTAGATCTGATCTTGAAGAAGGCAGAGGTTAATATATTTGGGTCATAGTCGAATTATTGTCTTATCCATATTTTTTAATTCCACTAGACAAATACAAAAATTATTGTCTTATCCATGTTTGAGATTTAAGATTAGGTTTGTTTTTTGGGTGGTCTCCACACCAAGTAACGTGTCGGATACTTTGTTATCTATTTTTGGAATATTTGTTCTTTTTTTTAGTTCTTGACGAAATCGTGGCCCATCTTTGATCCATCTTCAATGCAACACCGAAACAACTGATATGTAGCTATGAGGAACACAGATTTTTGGTACTTTTGTATCATTGTTTAAATAATGCTGTTATAGTATAAGTTTATAACATGAAGGGTTTTTGAATTTAATGATATATACCATGAAACATTGAAACAATATTAATATATTATTGAAACTCTAAAATTCGGGAACGAAATGTTTAAATTTGTGTCACACTAGGAAGTGTTATACAGTCTGTAGAAATCAGTCATCACATTTCAATTATGGTAAAACAAAAAGTTGTTGACAACGTCAACGACCTGAATTAGTTATTATTTAAATTCCAAATTAGCAACATTGATTTACTATTTTTATAATGTTGTAAAACAAGACTAATTTTACATCTTCTAATTATAGTTCCCAAGTCTCAAAAAAACACTTGTCAAATCTGTTATTATTTTTCTTTTCTCTTATAATTAACCTTTCTTTCATTCTTAGACTTTTTTTCTCAAGACTCTTCTATTAAGCAGCCTTGGGTCTTTCCCAAGGTTTTTCATAAAATGATTAAAACAAAAATGGAGAGGCCCTTTGGCTGCTTCTTCATCCTCCTCCTTATCTCCTATACCGTCGTTGCCACCTTCGACGATGAACCTTCTTTCCCCGAAAACGCCGATCTCACGAATGACCTAGAACAAAAATGTTTTAGCATTGATAAAGTTGATCCTAACCTCAAATTTGAAAATGATCGTCTCAAAAGAGCTTACATTGCTCTTCAAGCGTGGAAAAAAGCCATTTACTCGGATCCGTTTAAGACTACAGCCAATTGGGTTGGTTCTGATGTGTGTTCTTACAATGGAGTTTATTGTGCACCTGCTCTAGATGATGATAGCCTCACGGTCGTAGCTGGAGTTGATCTTAATCACGCGGATATAGCCGGACATTTACCACCAGAGCTTGGCCTTATAACGGACCTAGCTTTGTTTCACATCAATTCTAATCGGTTTTGTGGGATTATTCCCAAAAGTTTATCGAAACTCGCTTTGATGTATGAATTTGATGTTAGCAACAATCGATTCGTTGGTCAGTTCCCTGAAGTTTCACTCTCGTGGCCTTCTTTGAAGTTTCTTGATCTAAGATACAATGAATTTGAAGGAAGTTTGCCATCAGAGATCTTTGATAAAGATCTTGATGCAATCTTTTTGAACAATAATCGGTTTGAGTCGGTTATCCCCAGTACAATTGGGAAATCGAAAGCATCGGTTGTGACATTCGCAAACAATAAATTCATTGGTTGTATCCCAAAATCGATTGGTAATATGAAGAACCTCAATGAGATTGTCTTCACTGGAAACAATTTAACCGGTTGTTTCCCAAACGAGATTGGTTTGCTTAACAATGTGACGGTGTTTGATGCGAGCAAAAACGGTTTTGTTGGTAGTTTACCGACAACATTGTCCGGTTTAGCTAGCGTTGAGCAGTTGGATTTATCGCATAATAAGCTCAACGGATTTGTTGTCGACAAATTTTGCAAATTGCCTAATTTGGAGAGCTTCAAGTTTTCTTACAATTTTTTCAATGGAGAAGCTGAGAGCTGTATTCCAGGGAGAAACAATGGGAAACAATTTGATGATACCAACAATTGCTTGCAGAATAGACCGAGTCAAAAGCCTGCTAAGCAATGTTTGCCCGTGGTTAGTCGTCCCGTGGATTGTAGCAAGGACAAGTGTTCTGGCGGCAGCAACGGTGGCTCTAGCCCCTCACCAAATCCACCAAGGACGTCCGAGCCAAATCCATCAAAACCAAAGCCGGTTATGCCAAAGCCTAATGAATCACCTAAACCAGAACCACAAAAACCATCAAAACCCGAGACACCAAAAACACCAGAACAACCTACACCTAAACCTCAGCCACCAAAGCATGAATCTCCTAAACCGGAAGAACCGGAAAACAAGCCTGAGCTACCAAAACAAGAGGAGTCTCCTAAACCACAACCGCCTAAACCTGAAGATTCTCCTAAACCAGAACAACCAAAACCGGAGGAGTCACCTAAGCCTGAACAACCAAAACCAGAGGAATCACCTAAGCCTGAGCAACCAGAAATACCTGAGCCTCTTGAACCGGTTTCACCACCAAAGGAAGCACAAGCACCGACACCGGATGATCCATATGACGCATCTCCGGTTAGAAATCGTCGTTCTCCGCCACCACCCAAGGTAGAGGAAACACGTGTACCACCACCGCAACCACCAATGCCTTCCTTACCGCCACCAACACCAGTTTACTTACCACCACCACCGGTTTACTCACCGCCGCCTCCGGTTTACTCACCACCGCCTCCGGTTTATTCACCACCACCACCTCCGGTTTACTCGCCGCCGCCGCCTCCAGTATATTCTCCTCCACCACCACCTGTCCACTCTCCACCTCCACCAGTTGCTTCTCCTCCGCCGCCATCACCACCACCACCAGTCCACTCTCCTCCACCACCACCAGTTTTCTCTCCACCACCACCAGTCTTCTCTCCACCACCACCATCACCAGTATACTCACCACCGCCTCCAATCCACTCACCACCACCACCGGTATATTCTCCGCCTCCACCAACTTTCTCACCACCACCAACACATATTACGACTCAACCACCGATGGGAGCTCCAACACCGGTTCAAGCCCCAACTCCATCCTCTGAAACAACCCAAGTGCCAACTCCATCATCAGAATCATATCAAGCACCATCTTTGTCACCAATTCAAGCTCCAACACCGGTTCAAGCCCCAACTAAATCCTCTGAAACATCCCAAGTACCAACTCCATCATCAGAATCGAACCAATCACCAATTTCATCACCAATTGAAGCTCCAACACCAATTCTTGAACCGGTTCAAGCCCCAACCAAATCATCTGACACATCCCAATCACCCAGTCCATCACCAGAATCATTCCAATCACCAAGTCAAGCTCCAACGCCAATTCTTGAACCGGTTCATGCCCCAACACCAAATTCTAAACCGGACCAGTCACCAACACCATCAAACGAACCGGTCTCATCACCAAAACAATCAGAAGAAGGTGAAGCACCAGAACAATCACCCGCCACTCCATCATCACCGTCATCTTCTCCGCCCTCCGACACAGCTGTTCCACCACCGGAAAACAACGACGATGATGACGATGGTGATTTCGTCCTACCACCACACATTGGATTCCAATATGCATCACCACCACCACCGATGTTCCAAGGATACTAAAACCAATGTGGTAGTGACAGTGTTACCCATTTTTAACACTTGTGTCCATTTTTAACAAGTTAATTATTGTTGTAACTGATGAAAAAATATATCAAACAGATGAAAAAATTGAATGTCAGTTACAGTCACAAGCAATGTAATTTTTTTATAGATTATTTTTTAGAAGAAAAAAATTCGTGAAATTGAACTGTAACACAATGCGATCTTATTTTTTGGGGTACAATGTTCATATTTTTCTACCGTTTTTATAATCTTTATATATTAATTGAGAATCAAAATATAAAATAAAACTAAATATCTACATTTGTAAATTTTTTTTTATCTCATATCATTCATTTTATAACTAAATAGTTTAATATAATTATACATATTTAACCTTCCTTACCTCTTTCATAAATTATTGAACATCTTTTGTAACTAAAGTATGATCTAAAATCTTATATATTAAGTATTCAAATTAGGTTTTCGGAATCCATAAGATGGTTGAATTTGTTTGTTACGAGGATATATTTCCGATATTGTATCTTTGTGGACATGGTAGATGTTTCGGTTGCTTGGGCAAACGTAACTCGATTTATATTGATATACGAAATATTTTTCTTTCCTTCGGTTTATATGGTAGTTAATTCTGAAACAGAAACACATTTAAGTATTCGGGAGGACAAAAATGTTTTATCTTTTTGATCACTCTCCAACTTTGAAATAAAAACTGGAAAATGTAACTGGCTGGAAAATCAAGTTTTGTGTAAAGAAATAATGTGAGTTAGTTGTAAGTTTGGTCGATTAATGGTCATACCTCTAGTATGTTGTTTTGAGATATTAGAAAATATTTGATGAAGAAAATAAGTGTTTCCTACAATGGAGTTGGAGCTCTTTCGAAACGGAATACGATTAAAAATAATATTAAGTATTAATGATCCGAAATTTTAATTTGAAACGTATAAAAAAATACGTTGTTTAGAGCTAAAACTTTAAATTTATATTTATATTTCATAAAATTATATTGGTAAATAGTTAAGAGAAGAAAGTTTTATTTTATTTTCACCTAGTAGATATTACTAAATAGTAAATGACAACTAATCAATGCAAAATATATTGTAGGTACTGTGTTGTGATTATTTTTTTATACTGGCATATTATAAATTGTATAATTAATATTTATGATCATCTCGATACATAAAACATTTTTTTATATAGGATCAGTATTTAACAAAATAAAAATTATTTTTAAATTAAATGAATTTTTTTGTCCAATGAATTAATATTTAAAAATGTTGGTAAAAAAATAACACAGTTTTTTTGGGGAAAAAAAGAAATAAGATAGTTTTACGAGTAAATTTAATTTTATGAAAATAATCAAGAAAAGGGATTTATTTACTGTATATCCGTTAAAAAGGACAAAATATTAATTATATTGCGGAAAAAGGAGAGAAAAATTAGGTGGAAAAAGGAAGTTGGTGGGGACGATAAGCTTTTAATTTAACACCAAAAAAAAAACAAAAAAACACGAAACGAGTCAACTCACCGATTCCATTACGAGCCAACGAGAAACACTCACATTGATTGACTCGCTCGAGCTTTTTTTTGTTTTTTTAGGTCAAGTTGGTTTAAAAAAAAAAATTATTTTGGTTGGGTCACTCTGGTCAGGCTTAAACCAGAGAGAGAGAGAGAGAGAGTGTGTGCTTGTTGAGCCATTTGACCAAAAGCAAAACTTTAAAACTGGTTTCAGATCTGGAAAAAAAGGGTTGTGCTTCGGATTCTCCGGTGTCGTTTAATGATCTGTGACCCATCTTCGTTAATAGTTTTGGTCCCTCCTTTTTATCTCATTTACTTACTTCCTTCACTGTTGATTATCTGAATATGCCACGCTCTTCCTTCCACATGTTTATTATCTCAACCTTTGTTCTACACAATCGTCTGGTAATTGATCTCTCTTCTCTCTCGCTACCCTTTTCTTTCCCTTAATTTCAACTTGTGTGTTTTTTTTTTTTTTTTTTAACAAAATTGAGGAAACTGGTGCTGGGTTTGAGTCAAAGATGTGTTTTTTTTTCTGGGTACTGAGAATTGAGTGAGATTAAGTGATAAAGTGTCATTTTTTGTGTGTAAATTAGTCAAATGGAACCTTGGGATCGGAAAGTGTGTTTCTTTGCTTGGGTTGGCCTAGAATTTGAGTTTGTAGAAATCTGAATCTAGTCTTGATTTTGTGGTTAAATGAGAGGTGAGTCTGTGAAATTCAGATATGTGTTTGAAGCGATTTGACATCAGATACTGCTCATGTTGTGTCTTTTGTCAGATTTATTGAGAATATCAGATACTGCTTCCGACTGTAGATTTGACTTTGGTCTTAGTGTGAAGACTATCAGTAGACTTTATAGATCTAAAAGCATGCGCTGTTTTGATTATAAGAAATGAAAAGAGTTTTACTTTAAACTGTGACTAATAACTTGACTTGGATTATGATTTAACCAGCATAACTCTCATTTCTCCAGCCACTGTGTTTATGGATGCTTGTTGATTCCAAACTATAGTTTGTGTTGATCAATGTGAAGTCATTTGGTCATTACTTGGTTCTCAAATTTCACTTCTTGGTTTTTTCTTTCTTCCCCATGACACGATTTTTGCCCAAGTTATAATGTCATTATATATTCAGGGATGATCTTGTTCAGTTCTTGTTGTTGCACTTACTGTACCTGATGGTCATGTTTGCATGCAGGACTAAAGAAAGCCAACAACAGAATCTGGTTTCAAGACGGTTGGCAGGAGTTTGTCAACCGTTCCTCCATTCGGATTGGTTTCCTTTTGATTTTCAGATACAAAGTTACCGTCTTCATTTTCAATCTATCATCCACACTCTGAGATCAACTACCATTCTAGCTTATGGAAATGGATTCCGCACAGAATCAGTTTAACAAACGTGCTCGATTGTTTGAAGACTCTCAAGACAAAGATGCTAAGGTCATTTATCCATCGAATCCTGAATCTACTGAACCGGTGAATAAAGGTTATGGCGGTTCTACAGCCATCCAAAGCTTTTTCAAAGAATCTAAAGCTGAAGAAACGCCGAAGGTACTTAAGAAGAGAGGAAGGAAGAAGAAGAATCCTAATCCTGGTAAGTTTCAGAGAGAGACTTAATTACGTATTGACTTTTGTTCAATGGAGAGTCAAAAGATTTATTGTTTTGGTATGCACAGAGGAAGTAAACTCTTCAACTCCGGGTGGAGATGACTCAGAGAACCGCTCAAAGTTCTACGAGAGTGCTTCTGCTAGAAAGAGAACTGTAACCGCAGAGGAAAGAGAGAGAGCTGTCAATGCAGCCAAAACATTCGAACCAACCAATCCTTACTTTAGAGTTGTTCTGCGACCATCTTATCTATACCGAGGCTGCATCATGGTAAAACACTTTTTAGAGAGTATAATCAAGGTCCTAGATTGGAGTGAACATGACATGTTCTTAGAGACTTCTTTGTTTCTGTTTTTATTTTTATTTTTCAACAGTACTTGCCATCTGGGTTTGCTGAGAAGTACCTAAGCGGGATATCTGGTTTCATCAAGCTCCAGCTCGGTGAGAAACAATGGCCAGTGAGGTGCCTCTACAAAGCAGGGAGAGCTAAGTTTAGCCAAGGATGGTATGAGTTCACACTCGAGAACAATATAGGCGAAGGAGATGTATGTGTGTTTGAGCTACTCAGAACTCGGGATTTCATTCTGAAAGTCACCGCCTTTCGCGTCAATGAATATGTGTGACCAAAAAGCGCTTTCATTAGCGATCTTGCAGGTAGCTTTCCAAAGTTTAATTTCATGTAGGGTCTCTTAACCATTCTCTCTCTTGCATTGGTTGTCTCTGTTTTAGTAGTGTTTTGAGTGAAATTTCAGGTTCCTATGTTTCGATGTGGATAAGTATTTGATGATTATAATAACCTCTGAGTGGGAAACTCTTTTGTTTGAGTGGTAGTTAGGTTCAAAAGTAGAGTTGTATATACTTTATCTTCAGCAGGATAATTATGTTTATGTGAATTGTTGATTATTATTGGTTTGTGTGTGGATCCGAATTTCAATTTCTGTGTCACCATAAAGTTAGTCGACAAAGTTTGCTCTAGTTGGTTAAACTGTGAGATGTAAGATGGTGAAATCACCAAAAAATGAAAAAATACATATATTATTGGTAAAAACTTGTAGAATCATTTCACCAAAGCTAGGATTTCTCTTCTTTGAGTAAGAAAACTGTTTTTGCTAGATTTCAGACAGGACAAGCATTTTTACATACACATACATCACACAAACTAACAAAAGGATATCACAAGTTAAGCCAAGTTCTTACTACAATTGTGCTAAAGTTCTTGCCAGATTGAGACTTGACAAGAATTTCCACTACACATTACACAACTAAAAACGAAAATCGAAAGCTAAAGTTTAACGAGCTAGAAACCGCAGAGATCTTTGTCGAAAAAACCTTCTTCTACTCCTCAAGACTCTCTAATCTTCCTTCTTTAGCCTCATTTAATCAATCTCTTCAACATCATCTACAACAAAGAAAGATAACAAGAAATCACATAAAAGACACAAACAAAACCCACAAAATCCTTCTTAAATAATGTCTTAAAACTTTTTACCAAGTCTTGTAACATTCTCAGACCTAATGTTGACTCTTGGTTTCATCTTCTTCAACAAAATCATCCAAATCAATAACTCCATCATCATCACTAGTCTCAAATCTAGTAAACCTTTGTTCATCATCATCCATAACTGCCATCACTTCTTCTTTATTATCAACATCATCATCATCACTCTCAATGACATAAACTTTGTCCAATGGATATTCAATCTCAGAAGCAGACACATCAAAGATCACAACACGAAAACATGAATCCCCTTTGTAATGAAAAAACAGAAAATGACCATCACTTAAAAAATGAGCCTCTGCAAACTCACTCCAACCTTTCTCAAACCAAACCTCATCACCGATTCTTCTAATCCGAATCGAACACTTGAAACCAACAGGAGTCTCGAGAGTCACATTGTCAGTGAGTTTAGGACCAAACCTCACAAATCTAGCTGGAACTTTCTGTGGAAAATCCACACATGCAAGCAAGTTTCAATTATTTTTTGACAAAATTGAAATGATAAAAAAAAAATAAAGTGTGTAAAATAATTTTTTTTTACCATCATTTTTTCCTTGATTGTTTTGAGGAGAATAACCTTGATGAATTTCTTCACCGTCGGTTCTGGCTCCGGTTTTAGCCGGCGTTGAGTTGCTGCCGACGTGATGCGACCCGATGATCTCCGGTTAGTATGCATATTCCTCAATATTGTTTTTCTTTTTTGCCGAGAAGAGATTTTTGATAAGGAGAGAAGGAAAATTGAAAAGTGAGGAAGCACTTTTTCTTTGTCGTAAATGTATCATTACACTTCACACATTGGAAAAAGTAAAGTCTTTTAGATTCCCAAGAATCCTTCATTTATTTTGTAATAAATTTTTCAACTAAAATCAGAAATATTATTAAAGTTGATAAAAAGTAAAGAAGATATTATACTGAAAGAGTAGGAAAATCAACGTATACTCTTTTATATGTACTTGATAAATAGTTAAATACTAACTTCCAATCATATAATTAAGTTTTTTTGTGAGGGTAATATTTTGACATAAAACATGTAAATTTGTTATTACCCTCTACAACAAAGTTTTTTTATGGTGATAATTTAATTATTTTATTTCTGTTAGCAAGAATTAGGGATATATTAGTAAGATATTCAAATTTAATTTCAAACTCGTAACGAAGTTGTTGCTATATATGCAAATATTTTTTTTATGCAAAATTTTATTAGTTCACAAAGCATGCGAAAGGGTTCACTTTTATTAGTGCGTTACACTCTGCCCCCTCTTATAAATTATGTAACTATTAATTAGGGCTACTTATTAGTGTATTATAGTATCTACATAATACATCATATTATCATATTCAGATAATAAAGTAAGGAAAATCTATTGTTGATCGGAACTGGCCGGTACTTCCACCGTTACGGTTGCAGAACGATCACTTCCTTGCCGGCAAAGTCGCTCGTACTCCGACGATGAGCTAATCTTAGGCAACGCAACTTTACCGGAAAACTTGAGACACAAGGCACATGTAATGATCAGTATAGCAGACAACATCCAACTAAACTGCAGATTCGCCAATGCTTTTGCCCTAACCTCAGCACCAGGGGAAACACAAGCCACCGCACCACTATGAACAACACTTCTTCTGTTATTGTCTGTAGATGTTGAAATGTTACTCACGCAACCTCTTGGAACATACTCTGGGACCCAAAGCATGAAGCCCATGTTCAAGAACCAGCATCCTTGAAAAATAACCGAGATCGGCAGGACTAGAGCAGCAGAGAAGGATTTAGGGAAAGAAGCAGAAGCTAGAGCTGAGGAGAAGGAGACGAAAGCAATGAGTTGGAGAAGGAAATGGTAGTGACCTTCAAGACCTGAATGATCAGTGGAGTGAAAATGAAGAAGGAAGAGTTCTTGAGCGAAGACAGAAGCAGAGAGGACTCCGATTAGACCGGAGAAGAGATCTGAGCAAAGTGTTAGCTCGCAGAAGAGAGCGAAACACGCAAAGATAATGAGGTGGAGGAACATGGAAGCATGTTCTAGGTTGTCTGGTTTGAAAGAGGAGAAGTTGAAATTAGGGAAATCTAGGGTTAGGAGAGTGATGGAGAGGAAGGAGAAGAAGAGAATCAAGATAAGCTCGAGATGTTTGAGTTTAGGGAAAGGGAACCAGAATTGTGCAGAGAAAGTTTCAGGGCCTTTAAGACAATAAGATCTTATGGTGTTGAAGAGATGCCAAAGACCAAGAAGAGCAAGTGAGAGACCAGGCACAAAGTGTCCTAAGAACGTTCCCATTCTTATTTTTTTTTTGAAGTTTCGATTGTTTCCAAAAATAATAATCTGTTACTTGTGGTGTTGAATGACGTTTTGGTGAAGAGGTGTTTATATATATAGATGATAAATCATATGTGGTTGCGTGACGGTTAATACCACTAAAAAGCTGAGGAAAAAGAAGGGGAAAAGGTGGCTTGACCAATACGTAAGATTCTGGCGAAGAAATTAAAGACGTTATCAAAAACTTGGTTAAAGAAACAGAAACAGAATTAAACAGAATATCCATTATCATAAAAGAAACAAATAAAGAATTTGAAAAGCAGAGAGGAACGTCTTGTAATTGTTTATTCATTTAAACGCTATTCTCATTTCATCTTTTTATTTTATTTTTGAAAAGATATAAACTTCTTTAACCAAAAAAAAGAAAAGATATAGACTTTAATATTTATAGATAGTGATGCAAAAGGTTCGTGCATGCACTCAATTATTGGCACGAAGTTTTAGAGATGCAAAGTCGAGTGTGACTTCTTTGAATTTAGGGTTTAAAAAAAAGATACAGATATACAGTATATGGAAGGATTGTTTCAGCAATGTCTAATTTTCATGTATATTAAATATTATGTATAAATAAACTGGTTTGTTTGTAAAACATGATTAAATCACTTTTCTAGAGTATTTTTTGTATGGCAATCTATTACTGGTATTCAAAGTTCCCCCTTTGATGTAATACAAAAATAACAATAATGAAGAAATTGACCTAACTTTTGATTAAGACCCAAAAAAAAAGGAGGAGCCAATGAACTATTGAGAATAGATTGGGGTCACTCTCCAATCACTCCAAGTGGAAACTAAAGAGTGTTTCCACTTAATTAGAAAATGGAAATTACGATGAATCCATTTACTATACCCAATTCAAATATATAACCAAATATGCCTTTGTTTATGTTTTCTAGATATAACCAAATATACCTTTCTGTGTTTTCTAGAAATTAATATCAAACAAAAATAAAAAATATCAAATCTTATATCATTTTGGAAGTATTAAATATCAAATCTAAATGAAAATTGTAAGACAGTTTTAGCGATAAAAGGAATGATAAGCGATAATAGAATCATACATATAAAAGTAGGGTTTCACTCTCCCATGATTGGTCCATTTGGCATTTTTTTTAATATTTTCTTAAATTTACCTTTAATATATTAATCTCTAATTAACTCCCTTTAAAACTCATGTGTAACTCCACATTTAAATTCATTTGTAACTCCTCCACTAAAATGCATTAAATATTTGAAAATGATATTGACTATAATTTAAACTCTATATTTAAACTCAATAGTAACTTCTACCAATAAATAATAATTTGTAACTCATACTCAATAATTATAAGAGTTTCACCACTTCTCATCTATAAATAATTAAATATCAATTCTCTTATCATTCTCCACCATATTTTCAAATCTGTAAATTTACTTTATTTTATGTTCTTGCATGAGTTAAAAACAATTGTGTCATGGTGATAGTGAAGGTTTGATTGTAATATATATTTTTAAAGATTATATGATATGTAGTTTACATTGTATTCAATTTGTATTTCGTTTATTTTATTTTTAGAGATTATATGGTATATATGTAGTTTATATTGTATTCCATTTTATTTTGTTTTCACCGCATTACAAGAATATATTTATTTCATTTTTAGTTTTCAAAATTCTTGCTATAATATTTATCTGTTTCCCGATTTATCTATGGAAGTTCAAAAGCTAACTATTCTAATATTCACACAAGTCAATCAAATTGAAATGATATATCTTCGTTTTTTACTATTGATGTATGATTATTCTCTTTATCTATTTATTCAAACAAAAAACATTATTCGATGTTTTAGCATTTTGAAATTAAAATTTTTAATGCATTTCTCAAATATATGTTCTAACATGTAGTGATATGAATATCATTGTAGTATTTTTTCCAAGGTTTGTGGTCAAAATTATTTTTTTCCAACAAAATTAATTTAATAAAAACAGTTAGATAATCAATAGCAAATGTTTAAATATCATGTTGGTAAAAAGATGTGAGAAAAAGTATCTTTAATGAAAAATGTATGCTATTCATGTTAGAAGAAAAACTGTTTTTCCTTTGCATCAAGCACACAAAAATTATGATTGTATATAAATAAGTTGAATTTTCTTAAAATTGAAGATATTAGAACTTAGACTTAATAAAAAAATGTAAGTAGGTGTTAGATATATCTAGAAACTACACTATTCTTGATATATGTTTTTTTAATTACAATATACAAATAATTTATAAAATATTTCGAGTCGTACCACTTAATTGATTAATTCTTACAATACTAAAAAATAAGTGGTGTTAAAAAATTATGCATTGTAAATTTGTAATCATAGAAGAATATGTGTGATAATATTAAAAGCATAATTTTCTTTTAGTTTTCATTTCAAATTTTAAATTCATGTTTACATTAAAATTGTAACAAGTCACGCGTAGCGTGGCTACATTCATCTAGTAGTTAGAAAAGATAAATACCCTGGTTAAGTTCCAAGTCGAAATTGAAATATTATACTCCAAGTTTAAATCCCTATGTTTCTTGCTTCATGCACTATTTTGTAAAAATTTAGCAAATATGTATTTGGAAAATTTTATTTAAATAGAAAAAATATATATATAAGTAGATTGGTGGTACCGTTTTCTATATCGGTATAAATCCATAGGCCAGAGTAAATCCAAAATTAGGTTCTTGTCAACTGAAAATTTATGAAAGCCATGAATGCTTTTAGTGAAAGCCAATCTTTAGTATTGAGGCTATTACGGGACTAGCATATACTTGATTGCGTTAGAATAGAGTTTTTGCAAGATTAGCATTGACTCATGGAACATAATTTACGTAAATTTTGGTTGCGTATAAAAAAAAATTGTAGAGCAACAAAAGAAAACCTAATAAATATTAGAGTAAAACCTCATAAAGTTTTGTAAATCAACCATAACTCAAAGTAACTCGAACTCAGATTTAAAGTTTGAAAATAATTTTATTATAATAAGATTGATGACATTTTTGATTTAATTATGAGTCACATCTATAACTCAAATTAAATTAACCATAACACATGTTACCAATCACATCCATATAGTACATAGCAAAACATGATCAACTACAAACAAATTTGTAAGGGAATAGATAAAGAAGAGAGAGGAGATACATAGAGCAGTCTCCCATATGGTGTAGATAGACGGAAGAAGTTGCAAGTGTTGCCGCAGTCATGCTCCTCCCAACCTTCAAGGGCATGCACTATGCCAACGATTCTCCACCCACTCATCACCCTCCTTCCTAGCCAATTCTATAACAACCATTCATTCGTTAGATTATGCACACATCTATCAACTTATAAGACAAGAGTAACATATTTAAAGCTATATACCTCACAGGAGTGAATGTTTTGGGCAGACTTGGGAATAAGCATAGCTGGAGTGGAGTGGTAGAAACAGTCCTCGCAGAGTTTGTTGGGCGGGAACTGAGAAAAGGGAATGAAGATGGTTCCTTCTTTTGCCTTCAGCTGCTCTTCTTAGTTCTTTCCCTAGTCCATCCCCCACCAACCACTCCGTTGGAGAGTAATAATTATTGCTTGTGGACAATACTAGATTCTTGACAACCCCAAATTTGATGAGTTTCATGTGTTCATCCTCGCGTGAGACTACCACATATATATATACACATTAAATTTTGTTTGTTTGAGAAGCTGATCAGTGGATTCCATATTCATATATATATATATATATATATATTTACATACCTTGACGCCCTTTTGGGATAAAGCAAAGACAACGGCCGAAGCAACCTTTGTAACATTGCCTCTAAAGACAACTTCCATGCTATTAACCACCACCGAAGCTGCCATGCTGCTTCCATCTACTAGCCTTATCTTCAACTTCGGATACTTTTGTAAGACAATTCTCCAAACCCGTTTAGCTCCTCCGTCTCATTAATCATGTGTTAATTAGTTACTTATTCAATAGTTATTACGTGAACGTATGTAAAAGAAATGCATTAAGTGAAATGCGTACTTTGGAAGGAGGTGAGAGTGAAGGGTGATGTTACGGAGACGGATTCGCTCAAGGACAGAGGTTCGGGAGAAGAGAGTGGAGGTTAGGACGAAGGAGAAAAGGAGAGTGAAGGGCCACATGAAGTAGGTGAGGTACCATGGGGATCTAGACCACTAGGGGCGAGATGAGAGGGACGGGAAGCCGAGGCGCATTTGGTAGATGGAGTCGAGTGTGGTGAGGTGGATGACATCGGGTGATTCCTACTCTCTCTTCAACGACATCTCGTACAGGGACTCGCTGCATTTGTCGGTCGTCCCGTAAATGTGGTCGTAGATTGGCATGAACAAAGAGTAGTTGGTTCTAAGCTGCGTGTGGTGGAGCGAGTGGAACCTTCAACATATTTGACGCCATCTTATATATGAATTCATATCTTAACAATATAGGTATATACAGTGTGGACGTATGAGGGGGTGTAGCAGAAGAACTTGAGGAGAGGGAAGAGGTGGAAGAGACGCTTAGGGAAAACCTCGAAGTTACAATGTCCCATGTAGTTCATGAAGTCAATGTAAGTAACGTATGCAACGAAGGGAACAATGGAGAGGATCCCACACAGGGACGCCGTTACTATAGGTATGGCGAAAAGTAGTGAGTAGGCGATGTGCTCGGCGAAGGGGTGCACCACAGCTGCCAAGTTCTAGTAAAGAAATATATTGATGGATGTATATATAGAGTACAAGAAAATGATAGATGAAGGAACATACACGTGATGGGCTCGGTGACGATGGAGGAGTGGTGGTGAGAAAGAATGGTAGCGAGAGTAGATCAGGAAGTGGTGGTGGAGAGCTCTGTGGAACCAGTAGTATAAGAACTGGACGGGACCAGCATGAAGTATAGTCATGACTCATGAGAATAGCTCCGTCTAGTCTCCAGAGAGGGATACGGGAGCAGCCTGAGAGTTTGTTGTTGACGAGAAACATGAAGAGCGTGTTGAAGATGATTTGGTCGTCCCAAGAGCGCCCTCGGTCCACTTGCTCGAACTCAATGGGCTTGTCCACGATCTTCTTCTTTCCCTTGGCCGTCTTGTGCATGATGCGACACACTGATCCATATCTGGCTGTGAACTATCCACAGCATCAGCGCCACTATCATCAGTCTCGCTGGGTCCTTCTCCTCCTCCTCAGCTGTCACGTACGAATGTATGCTTGCCATCTTCAACGGGGCCACCAAGAGGTACTTGAAGCCACCAAGGGGACTCCATGGCCATTCCGTCAGAACTCCCGAGCTTGACGCCATCCAAAGGTATTTGAGGTAGGACTCGAAGAAGTTTGAAGGAAATGCTTTTGAATTTAGAACGCAACATGATATATATAGAGACATCATTGTGTGTGGGATATTGATGAGGCACTATAAAACACATGGTGGTCCGGTAACAAAAAGTAAAAAAAAATTATTAGAAAAAACTAAAAAAAAAAAAAGAAGCACATGATGGTGGGCCTGACATCAAGTAGATATGTTACAACGCTAATAACGTGTGTAATTGATGGATTGATTTAAAGGATTTTCACTAGATGACAAATATACATAAACTTGGCAGAATGTTTGGAATCTATGAAAGTTCATATAGTTTTGTCATTTAAAACATCCACAACGTTCCAACAGTAATTGATACTAGAGTGGGTAGACATGAATTCTTATCTTGGCAAAATTCTCACATGCGTCGATAGATAATAAGATGCATCAGATTTAGGCTTGATTGTACAATCTATTTAAGGGTGGAGAGAAAAAAAATCCACGCAAATAGATCAAATCACTCTTATTTGACAAGTTTTCCCGTTTTAGTTGGTTATCGAGTTATTAGAGACTCGAAGGAAGCCGAGCAGTTTAATGTGGCGAAGCTTATTCAGGGAGGAATATGGCTGAAACCCGCTTGAGTTACTTACCAAGAGTCTTTGATTTAATTGTCGTATTAGTATACTTTGTGTTTTATTGTGTACTTCTGTTTTGAGTTTGATGTTTTTCTCTGTTTTGTTGTATGAACTTTAACCAATGATATGCTCTGTTTCGTAAAATTATTTTTAAGACTCTAAGTATTTAAATATTTAAAATAAATAATCCATTTAGAATATATATATATATATATATATATAGAGAGATGACTAAACTTTTGAGACTATTTCATGATTATTTCGATTTGTTTTAGTATTTTTCTAAAGTCATTGATCAAAAATAGTATTTATTTATTTATTAAAAACAAATAGTATTTATTAATATTAGGTCATTTGATTAAATCCCTAGTAAATTAAGTAAAATACACGCAAAAAAAAAAGACTTGGAATCATCTTAATCAATTTAACCAAAGAGAATGCCACTATACTAATACTACTTATTACGTTGCTTCAATTTAAAATAATATAACACCTAAAACTAATGTCTTCCGCAGTCAATTTAATGTACGTTATATTTAAGAGCTAAAGTAAAGCCTTAAACACTTTTCAAAGGGCCAGGTGGCCCAAGTCTCTTTATATTTGTGATTTTACAGATCTCTATGGAAAATGAATCTTCTATAAATGATTGGCTTGACTTCTCTAGATGGAACCAATTTTCTATATTTTAGTCAAACGGAATAATTGGCAGATAAGCATATATAATTAATGTTTTCTGAAGCCCAAAAAAAAAAAAAAACTAGGGGTCTTCTATTTATTATGACTATTTTGTCTTCTTTAGTACTAGATTACTAATGGCTAAATCTGGTCCTCACATGCCAGAGATTAAGGTTGCGACTATATTGTCTTGTAGTTAGCATAAACTAAAATGGATGAAAATAATTTTCTACCAAATTCATATTTTCTTTAGCTATTTAGAGTAAAATTGAAATATACATTTTAGCTATATTACGCAAAAAAGGGTAAAAGTAAGACAATTCTTCTATCTATCTTTTATTAGCTGGAAAATTTCAACCACTTTTCTATTTTTTTTTCTCTAACATTTTTTGTATCTCATTTTCTATTTTTTTATCCTCACTTCCCACCAATCATACCCTACAAGCGATTCAATGTTGATTTAACTCCTAAAATTTGGATTCTTATTGAACAATTCAAAAATTACAAAAACGATTTTTATTGGATTTAATGAGTTTATTTCTAACAATTGAAAATAGATAATTAGTTTTCAAAAGGTTAAATAGTTTTAAAAAATTCAAAGTACGCTACTTACTAGTGCAAATTTTCATTTGCAAGGATCAAATAATTTTTTCCTTTTTGATTATTTTGATCTTTATTGTATTGGAAAAATTCAAATAATATTTTTTTGTTGTCAAAATCTACTTCTCTCTCTCCACCCCTATGGATCTAGTTAGACCATATTTTAAATATAACTTTCGTCTTTATACTATTTTCATAAAAGTACAAACAAAAGCTATCTAATAAACAAGAAAAGATATAAAAAAAGATACATATATTATTATTATGATAAATTAGGTACAGAGTTACATTCATCTACCGGTTTGTTTTAGTTAATATATTTATTTCGCTTGCACATACATAATTGTTTCTTTGAACTATTAAGAAATTTTCATTAATTTATGTGAAAAGATGACCATAACAACCTTTCAAATGTAATGCTCTTGAAACGAATACAACCCAATTAAGAATTGTTCTTTGTGGATAATTAAACCTAACTTCACGGAATCATAGCTTCAATTCACATTGCATTGAACTGTTTAGATTGATCTCAAAATTAAGTTTTTTTCTAACTATTGTTTGTTTATCGATTACATGTATTAGTATAAGTGAAGGTTAATTAGTTTGTGTATTATAAGTTTAGAAAAATGGATTTGTGATGATCAATGAGGAAAAGACAACTAATGCTAGTGATTGGGACCACATTATAATTACAAACGAACCAAACAAAATCAATTAATATTGTGCTGTGAAAATGACCTTAATTCTATATACCAAATAAATTTTAATTGAAAGTAAATAAATAAATAAGGGAAAGAGAAAAAAAAGATCAAGCTTTATCAGAATTGAGAAGGGTTACATACTTACATACGTATGTTGTTGGTATACTAGAAAGCTTGATACATCAATAGTCATAGAAAATTTGAATACCATATATTTTTTTTAATTCATGCATGCATGCAGGTTATAGAAGTGTTGTGGTATAATATTGTTTCGCCTAATTAAATAATTATTCATTTGTTAATTATACTTATATATATGAACATTATGTTCACATGTTTGTCTTTTTATTAATTTTTAAAGTTTGGATAAATAGTAACTAAAGTGAAATCATAACAAAGATTTATTGGTTTACCTACAAAACAAATTGGGATGAACTCAAACTAACACTAAAAGACAATTGGTGAGAGCATTGGTTGATGAACATATTAATGTATTTGCGTCAATCAGTAAATGACATAAAATCATTAAAATTAATAAAGGTTATAATTTATTTTATATACTCTAAAACTACAAATACAATCATTGAAATTAATTAAGTTGTTTTTTTTGTTTAAAAGGACCATCATAGCTCATCTATACTTAGTTGCCATGATCTAAAACTAATATAAACACCTAAAACTAATGCCTTCCGCAGTCAATTTAATTTTATGTACGTATTATTTAAGAGCTAAAGCAAAGCCTTAAACACTTTTCAAAGGGCCAGGTGGCCCAATTATTTGTATATTTGTGATTTTACAAATCCCTATGAAAAATGAATCTTCTATAAATGATTGGCTTGACTTCTCTAGATGGAATCAATTTTCTATATTTTAGTCAAACGGAATAATTGGCAGATAAGCATATAGAATTTATGTTTTCTAAAGCCAAAAAAAAAAACTAGGGGTCTTCTATTTATTATATGACTAATTTGTCTTCTTTAGTACTAGAATAATAATAGTTAGTTAGGTCTGGTCCTCACATGCCAGAGATTAAGGTTAAGACTCTATTGTCTTGTTGTTAGCATAAACTAAAATGGATGAAAATAATTTTCTACCAAATTCATATTTTCTTTAGCTATTTAGAGTAAAATGGAAATATACATTTGAGCTATATTACGCTAAAAAGGGTTAAAGTAAGACAATTCTTCTATCTATTTTTTATTAGTCGGAAAATTTCAACCACTTTTATATTTTTTTCTAACTTTTTTAGTATCTCTTTTCTATTTTTTTTATTCTCGCTTCCCACCAATCATACCCTAAAAGCTATCTATTTTTTATTTTAGATATAACTTTGGTCTTTATACTATTTTGATAAAGGTACAAACAAAAGCTATCTATAAACAAGAAAAGATAAAAAAAAAGAAGATACATATATTATTATTATTATGATAAAATTAGATACAATGTTACATTCATCTACCGGTTTGTTTTAGTTAATAATTTATTTCACTTGCACATATATAATTGTTTCTTTGAACTTTTAAGAAATTTTTATTAATTTACGTGAAAAGATGACCATAACAACCTTTCAAATGTAATGCTCTTGAAACGAATACAACCCAATTAAGAATTGTTCTTTGTGGATAATTAAACCTAACTTCACGGAATCATAGCTTCAATTCACATTGCATTGAACTGTTTAGATTGATCTCAAAATTAAGTTTTTTTCTAACTATTGTTTGTTTATCGATTACATGTATTAGTATAAGTGAAGGGTAATTAGTTTGTGTATTATAAGTTTAGAAAAATGGATTTGTGATGATCAATGAGGAAAAGACAACTAATGCTAGTGATTGGGACCACATTATAATTACAAACGAACCAAACAAAATCAATTAATGTTCTGCTGTGGAAATGACCTTAATTCTATATACCAAATAAATTTTAATTGAAAGTAAATAAATAAATAAGATCAAGCTTTATCAGAATTGAGAAGGGTTACATACGTACGTTGTTGGTATACTAGAAAGCTTGGTACATCAATAGTTATAGAAAATTTCAATACCATATATATATATATTTTAATTCATGCATGCTGCAGGTTATAGATGTGTTGTGGTATAATATTGTTTCGTCTAATTAAATAATTATTCATTTGTCAATTATACTTTTATATATGAACATTTAGTTTAGTTTATGTTCACATGTTTGTCTTTTTCTGAATTTTTAAAGTTTGGATAAATAGTAATTAAAGTGTAATCATAATAAAGACTTATTGGTCTACCTACAAAAATTTTTGGGATGAACTCAAACTAACACTAAAGGACGATTGGTGAGAACATTGGTTGATGAACGTATTAACGTATTTGCGTCAATCAGTAAATGACATAAAATCATTTAAATTAATAAAGGTTATCATTTATTTTATATACTCTAAAACTATAAATACAATAATTTAA